CCCACATATATATATATATATATATATATATTGCTTTATGCAGTATTAATAATAGAATTATTTTCCCAAAGTATTCAATAAATCACCCTTTTTGTTTTGAAAAGATTTGCTAGTCTAAAGTTACCTAATACATGATATATATATTTAGATTCTGCAGAAAGTTTTGGAGAAAAAATTGAACTACTGACATTTGGTAATCATTCCCAATGGAAGTAATAATTTATTTTTATTTTTTATAAATAAATAAAAATAATAATTACAAAAATATGAATATATTTTGATCAATTGGATTTTTCTTGCATTACTTTTGGTAGCACTTATAGACAAAATTTCAACTCAAAAAGCTGGTAATAAAATGAAAAAAATAAATATTATTTTTCAGTCCCATCTTTCTGCCTATGCTAGTCCAGAACTCTTCAGGGAATATGTAATAAGTACTAATCATTAGCTCAGCATTAAAAAATAGGCCAAATTACAGGTTTCCCCCTCAAGAAAGCCGAAATTACGAAAAACACCCCTCATGTTTGAATAATTACAACCACTGTCCACTCATCAACTATATGTATTGTCTTACGAAAACCCCCTCATTCAGTAGGTAAATTTGACACCGTGAGAGTATAATTTACCCAATGGATGGTTGTAATTATCCAAACATGAGGGGATTTTTCATAATTTAACCTAACCTCTGGAGAGTGGGTGTAATTTACCCAGAAATAAGAAAAAAATTGAATTTTTACGAGTTAATTATAACACACACCATCTAATCACAATCGCAACCGAAGTAGATTATCTTTGGAACAAGAAAAATTACTTTAGGGTAAAAACGAGAAGGGGATTTTCGTCGTAAAATTGTGTAGATCAATGGCAAAAATACACCATATGTGACATTCACTGAGTGTAGCATATAAATAATCCAAAATTTCGATTACAACTAGATGTAAATAATTTTTAAACAAATACGAAAAAAATTAAAAATAATAATCAATTAAAACCAAACAGAAATACAGTGGGAATATAAAATGAAGTTTACCTAGAGAGGCAATGAGGCAATCCTCATGATTATTATTTTATGCACTAAATATTCAAAAAATAAATAAATAATAATAAATAAATAAATAAATAAAAAGGCAAATGTGTCGACGAATGAGGAGGAAAATATTGCAAGTTGAAGCAAAATGTGGTGAATTCCATGCAATAATCAATTGCACTTTCAAAATTATTTTCTAATATTCAATCATTATATTTGGTGGTGGGTCTCATTTTGTGCTTGTTATGGTGAAACTTAATTTTCCTTAACCATTTTATACTCAAACACCCATGATTTCTGATTTTTCTATTAAGGAATTGAATAATCCTATTCAATTGTAATCTGGGATCGGCAATTGAGCCGGGCCTAATCGAAGTCTGATGACTCGACTCAATTTATTTGAATCGTGCTTATCTTTTAGTGAGTAAGATAGAGTTTGAGTCATCCTACTAAACTCTATTTATTTTATTTTGCAAAAAAAGAAAAAGTCGAAAATAAAAGGAATTAAGTGGTGGCAGTGAGCCCGTGGCAATAGTAATGTTTTCAGGTTTCTTTGAAACGATTTCAATGGAGGTAAATCTTGTTCGTCACTTGTTTTTTCATTATAAATAAATAAATTTACTCATACAATTTTGCAGTATGAGACCCGTTATAAACCTGAAACCTGAAAAAATACACGAGCCGAGCATTAGCCTATACTAATAAGACTCGATGATATATGAGCTTGAGTCTATCTATACTAACGACTAACTAGGCTCAGTGATATGTGAGCTTGAGCCACTCCAAATTCGGCTCACATGACCCGATTTCACCCCTAATTATCAGTAGAAAGATAATTACACTGAGCAAATTGCAATATAAATGCAATTCAATCAAGCATTTCCACTTTCGACCTGATAACTAGTTGATTCCAATAACATTCATATACCAATATAAAAAATATCAAAAAATAACAATAACAAATAATTAAATAAATAAAAATAAAATAAACATGCCTTCAAAGCATTCATTCGTCACAAAGTCTGAAGTTTCTAGATCGCATAAAACCGGGCCAAAAGGCGCAAATATCCAAAAACGAATAGCATCGTCAAGTCTAGTTATTCATCACTTATTTAGATAATTTGTCTGCCTTTTACAAAAGGCAGCACAAACTTAACTTGTGATAATGAGTTCACAACTCGATATAAGTTCTTCGTTTTCAATGAAATAAAGCAAAAGCAGATAGAAAGAAAAAACCGAGTTCACAAAACCGCGAATGCACTTTCCATCATATAAAAGGTTTGATCTTTTTTGGTGCTCGGAACGGATTCAACACATGGAACAACTTCTTCCTTTTATTACCCCGAAAGGAAACACCGGATTTCAGCGCTGCGTCTCTGTCAAAATAGGATCAAGAAAAAACGGACAGCAATCTTAGCACCATAACATTTTTTAACCTCTACTATATTTATATTTATAATGAAACAATCAAGGAACGAATTATATACCTCATGCTTCGATTTGTTTTCTTCAGCTTTTCCGCAAACCTTTTCCATAGAACAGCTCCGCGTTTTCGATACACAAACTGAAGCAGCTCAATTTTCCCAGAAGGAAAATGTGATACGACCGATACATAAACTTCTTTCGAGGCTAACTGAACTGATTGCAATGCATACAATTTCTGCGGATTCATCTTCTGTTTGTGCTGCGTGATTTCGATTTTCTCCAGCATTTTCCCATTTTGGAGGAAAAACTTGATAAATTCCATTGAAAATTCTGAATCATAGAAATCGGTAATCACAATTCTTCTTAGGTGATGTGACAGACACGGCACGTCCATTTCTGTGGACACCCAGACGCTTTTCCACCAACACTAAAACATGGTAAACTATATCAGTCGGAGTTATAAGCATCATGAAAAATAAAAGAAAAAAAAAACATTTAAGCTTAGAGCATATGATTAACATCAACTAGTACTAAAATCATATTTAAACAAGCTCGCATTACATATAAGCTAAAATTAACATTGCCAAAATTCAAAATCATTTTTCTTTTATGAAAACTCTACATGCATTTATAACTCCAATATCACTTCTAAGAACCATAGAAAAAGACATGTCTTACGTCAACAAATTTAATGTATAGAACTTCAAGTTTGGGTGAAGCCTTGAGCAAGACGATTAACCCCTCCATATGGTCTGCATTGCCGTCTATATCCAGATTTAAGACCCGTAGACAGCCAAAATGAATACTGCCACGATAAATCACACGAAATATCGGGCAGAAGAACTGAACAAAAAGTGAAAACAAGCAACAAGTCAAAGGTAAATTATGAGATGTAATCAAAACTATGAATCCATAGCCAGCTTGTATATCGGAGATAATTTTTATGATATTAGCTCAAGATAAGCCACAAACATAGTGAAAGCAAATTATACACATCACCGTACCCACAAATATAAACAAGGATCAAGAATTCTGGGATTCCAGGTCACCAAACTTGGCCCCACATAACTTGGATAATTTGCATTTTTTTTCCTCTAGAATCAGTGAATCCAAAATTGTTATATGTTTTAGTCACCATGCAGAATTCAAAGTTTTCAGAATTTGAAATGCCCGGTTGCTAATAAACCAGGATTCCAGCTTTCTAAATTGCCAACTCTAAGTTATATGTATGTTCATACCCATGAACGTAATGCATGTCTAAATATTTGCATGGGCTGTGTCCTTGTAATAAGGGTGTGGCTGAGCTGAACCAAACTAACACCACAAGTACTAAATGTTTAGACACCCAAAAGTGTAACAGTAGGATCGTTAATTTACTATTTGGTTCACCGTTTCTTGACCTGCAACTGTTATCTTTCTCCCGAGGTAAACTAAAAAGACTACAATCGAAAGTATATACATTGTTCTACTAGAAGTACCTAGGAAACAAATAATACATACCAGGACACAATCTGCAGATAATGATAGTCCTTTTACATGACTAAAACCAGTAGCAATCGCATGCAATTCCCACTCCATGTTTTTTGGAAAATCTCGATTTATGATATGAATACGAGCATGGTCCAAAGATGGCATATTTGAGAACCGTGAAGAAAGTAGCGCTGGCCCAATATAGCAGAAGGATACAAGGTTTGGAGTATTGACTATCAGCCTGGATACAAAATTAGACGGACTCAAGAAACTATCAAGAGGGTCCACGTTCACAAAGGTTAACTTCTGAAGCTTATCAGATGAAAATTTGAGAACTTTCATCACGGACAAACAACAATATTCAAGAGATAAATCCTCAAGAACACCAAAATCACTGAATAACTTATTGGTGAAATCAGCATCAGTAAACTGGACTCTAACCAAATGTAGGCTTTTGAGATTGCCAAAGAAACAGTTGCAATTTTGTGGAATTGCTAAAACAGATTCAGCAATGGCACTAGGGAATGGGCAAATTTCGAGAGTAACTACAGCAACAAGCTCAAGTTCTTGGACATTTCTCAAAGCACAAAGACGAAGCAGCAGCTTAAGTTGCTCAGTATCAGTATAACCATTCGTGAGATGCAGTCTATGGAGAGGAGGTGCCTCACTGATAGTTATAGTCCACTTGACAAATTCCCAGAATTTTAATAAACAGCCATCATAGTCCAAATCTTGACGTTTCACATGATGCCAGAAACCTTCTAAATCAAAGTTTAAGCCAGGTACTGAAGTCCATAAGTGTCTCCACTTTCTTGACAACAAGCTGGTCCCCACAACTGCAGAAGCGTCGAGAAACGAGAGAATTCGATAGATAAGGTCTACAGGCAGATTACTGAGCCTGTCATCAGAATGTTGTTCAATAATCTTTGGATGCTTAAGGCATGGCGTTTTACTATTTTGAATTGCGGAATCCATGAATGAAGGGGAACAATCTAACAACACATATATGTCTGGAAAATCCTTCAAATGGTACAGCCTGCAAATGATTACGTTCGCATTACAGCACCTCCTCCAAAACAATGAAAGAACATTTCCCTGAAAATATAGAAGAATTTGGAATTAAGCAAAAAGCAACTTTTTTGTTGAACAAAAAATTCCTAACTGAAGTTTTAGCAAAATCATGAAATGTGTAACCACGAGAAAAAGGATAAGAGTACCTAACTTAAATCCTTATCCAAAGAATCAGAAAAAAAAAAACATCCATGATCAAACCAATATTTTGTTTGGCATTAATTATATATTATTGTTCAAATCCTACATATAGATAGCCTACATAAATCGTCAGTATCATGCCCTGTCAGATAAATCCAACACATAATTTATGTTCAAATCCTACAAATAGATAATTCCTTAAACATAGATAATCGTCTACGTTAAACCATCAATACCATACCCTATTGCAAACTTAACATAGATACCAAACCAAAGATCTGATACGACAATTGATCACGAGACATAAACTCGTTCTTGGGATGAACCTTTTTAACAAAAAAAAAAAAATCTCAGAAACCAAAAGAAATTTAAGCATGGTGATTTCTAGTCCTCTAAAATCTCAAAGAAATTAAACACAAACCAAAAGAAACCAAATTAGTCTAGCTTTGATTTGAGATAAAAACAGATAACCCAAACAAAATTAATCAATCAGATGCGCCACCAGATTAAAGAAGATAATAAAATCACCAAGAAAAGAGAGAACGATTTCGACTTCTGGTGAAAACCCTAGAGAGAGAGAGAGATTAGCAAATGGAGAGGCGGCGGCGTTATGTACTAAGTTGGAGACTCATTTAAATACCTAAAGAAAGAAAAAAAATTAACCGTGCAGAAAATCGTCCCAAAAAGTTAACAGATCCAGTAAAGAATTTTTAAAAAAAAGCTAGATTCCGAAATCAATGAAAATAAATTTACCAAGGGATATGGTGTGACTCGGCAATCACCACATTGGGGTATCACAAAATATCCATTTTCTTATGAAAACAATAACATTTATTGTTCCCTTCCATACTTTAAGAACTCAGTGGATCTTAAAATGTTTAATGATACTATACCAAATCAATGATAAAAGGGATTTATTGGATCTGAAAATAAACCGATATTTCAAAATTAGAGTAGAAAGCTATGACGAAATTTATAGCATATTAATAGGACAATGTAATTAAAATATTTAAAGCTAACATTAATAGGATAATTATCAAATCTACGTCAAGGTTTATCCATTTGCACTATTTTATTAGTATATTTGAATGGAAAACAATACCATATGTAACCTCTTCACCTAAGATGCTAAGTGTAGTAGGATATATATGTTGGAATGTTTTTAGCATTCTCAGAACAAATTACATTAAGTGTACTCCCAGTATCCGGTTCACAATTATCAACACAACTAAAATGCCTGAGAAAGACTGTACACATAGGTAGTGCATACGATGATTAATTTACTACAAAATAGAAAGTCTAATCAACACAAAATGTCTAATTTTAAATTCAAATGCATCAAACTTGAGAATAAGGTATAAATTCCTTTTAAAATCATCAAAAGTGGAATCACACATACATTTCTCCAAGGCCGGGTGTCACACTCAACAACTAGAAGAACTGGAGTAGGACTGCCTTTGATTATATCCGATAATTTTCTTAATTATCTCGATGATTTTCCTATTTTGAGAGATCTAACAATCTAATAACAGAAGCGGATCAGATAATCTCCGATCCACTCACTCCAACATTAAGTTTAGCATGATACACTTCTTCTCTTTATCAGATACATTTATATTATATGTCGAGCAATCATCATTAATGTGTCGTGTTATGTAGAATAACAATTAATTGTTACAATTTTTTAAGTCTTCAAAAGAATACAGTTGATTGATTCCAGTCATTAAGAATTTTTAGGGTTGCACTTAAATCAATCACTTCCCAGCTGTTATGACTTGCACCTTCATATTGACTAAGACATCAAATAATCCCTTTGATCATAAGAAAAATGGTAATAATTTTAGTCCTGGACATTTGAAGGAAAACATGTGATTTTCCCTTTGACCATTAATGGCATACAACTAAGTAGCAAGTAGCTGTATTTATTTAGAAGGGCTTTTAGTTTTGATTACACGGCGACAGTCTCTCTCTAATTATTCATATACATTAACATAAATGTTTGGAAGCGTTTTGGGGCTCGTTTCCATTTCGTTTGGGAACATATGTTTTGGGGGAAGAATTTGAGAATGAGTAATGTTTGTTTATATTTCTGGAGGAAATGGAAAACACTGTAGCAAAAAGTCATGTATAAAGGTGTTGGAAAAAAAAGGTATTTCAGAATGAGGGGGAAAGTTTTTGAAAAGCTTAACAAATATAAATTCATTTTGGGGAAGAGTGGGAAGAAAATGAAAACGTTCCCAGACATCCCGTGATGAGTCTTCCTAGAGTTACAGTCTTTGTGGTACAAAAGCCAATCGAAAAGATTGTAAAATTTACAAAAAAATGAAAACGGTGGAATTTTCACCTCAACTGAGAATGGTAAGTTAATTGAACCAGATGAAAGAATTGTCTTATATGTTATCATCAAACAGTAAGTTAATGAAGTAAGATTCCTAATAGAAACGATACTCCATGTTACTAAAATAAGCACTTCAGTTGGTCCAAGTATATTTTTTTGAAAAATCCAAACATAGAAGACACACAATTCGCAATTAGAAGTTTATAGTACCTTGTAACTGATGTATCATGTAAAAAGAACCAATTCATCACATAGTATTTTAACTGAGATAAGAGAGAAGAATTTGCACTGGGCTCTTCCAGAACAGTAGTTCTCCATAATCATTGGACTTCTGAAACGCCCTTCCTGTATGCACCAAAATTCACTCGTTAATATCACAATGAAAGTTCTGTGACTAGAATGATTAATAGGGTGAAAAATAAATCACAAATAAAGATAAAGAACTTCCGTGACTACCTGTAGCACAATTGCACTGTCACTAGCTTCTCTGTCATCTAGACACCTAAAGAAGGGAAGTCCAAGAAAGTGAGACTGTATAAATGGAAGAAATGTAACTTCTAAATTTCTAATAAAGCAGTGTGCAAAAATTTTGCTGCAGTAAGCGATTGTGCAAAACTAAATAAGGAATCAGGCAATACAGCAGCTTGATAATCCTAATCACTCATATTACATTATTTTCTAGTTTGCCCACAAGAACAAATAAATGGCTTTATAGACATAGTTAACAGAAGAACATATACATGTCATACAAACAAATGATGCAGAAAAACTTTAAAGTCACCTCGTTTTCTTTCATAATAATAGTACAGTTGGTGGTGGTGCACGTGAATGGTTATATACATGATAATATATAGCAGTTCTATTGGTGGGTTGCAAAAGTTCTGAAACAATGAAATGATGAGACTGACAGAAGCCCCTTTCTATGAAGGAATTGGTTTTAAATGTCTGGCCAAGTTGAGAACTATAATCACCACTCGAGCATTTTGATACCAGATATTTTGGACTTTGTTGTGACTTGTACATGCAAACGTACTGGTGGGTAATGTACTTAATGAACATCAAACAGAAGTGACTCAAAGGATTTGATTTTCTCATAAATATTTAAGTTATTCGAGTACCAACAGAAATCCAAAAGTGGACTAAAATAGGCAACTTCCTACAAGAGATGGTAGGATATTTTTTGAAGAGAAAGACTTCGTTAGCTATAATGAAAGTTGTTTTGGAAAGCAACTTGACTTTGATCAGGAGAATGTAAGATCAAGATATCTAATTATCAACTTGGAGAAACTTTGGGCAAGTAAAAGCTTTATTTGGTATAGCGTTTATAAATTATCATTCTCTCTCAAGAATCTAGGATTTCTAATGATGAATGTCAGAACATACTTGATAACATTATCATTTCCAACGAAGGGCTAAAAAATAATCCCCTTGATGCAAGGTTCAGAGAAATACAATGATATCTTGATTCTAGAAAGAAAGAAAAAAAAAATGAAGGAGTCACAGAAGAACAATGTTACCTTTAGTTCAGTCATCATATTCTGGATCAGAGTCCCCTTGATCAAACCAAGGAATTTTTCTTCGAGCATACTCGGGGAAAGATACAACAACTTCTGAGGTTTTAGGAAGATTTAATGGCTGGAAGAAACTGTTTGGCTTCTTCTTTTCATTCCCAATCATAATTTCCATCCTCTCGAGGACTTTCCCATTCTGAAGTAAAAACTTAACCAACTCAAGTGCAATCTCTGTACCATCTAAGTCGACAATTTGGATGAATTTAACATGATATGATAAGCATGCTATAGCTTCTATCCTCGACTTCCAAGTGCTGCTGTTCTTAATTGCTAAGCAAGCTGGAAAAGGAGCATGATTACATATCCATTTTGTTTGTATAAATGCATAAAAGAGCAGTCTCACCATTTTAACATGAAATACATAGTAACTTATGCTATGAAAAAGCTGTTAAGATAATAAATCAAAACCCAATAGAACTTTTTATCCTCGGTAATAAACATAAACCTGGTGAAGCAAAAATATTAGCAGCGCTCCTAGAAAGAAAAATCCAGAGGTTTGGTTTGTAGCAAGAAAATGCATGACTATAAAGAGAATCTAGTTCTAACGTTAATCAAGATATACCAGGCAATTTTGAGCAACAGTGCAATACCTTTCCTTGACTTCTTTCTTGACCGCGGAATCTGTCGATCCTGAAAAAGGATATTTGTAATGGGCATTGCGAATGATTTAAGTATTTTCATTTTTAACTACAGTGTGAGATAGACTTTTTACCTCTTTAAATCTGACAACAAGAACTTCAATGTTCGGCGACAGCTTCAGTAAGTTGATCAACCCTTCTATATAACCGGCATTGTGCCTCAATTCCAACTCTAAACGATTCACATTGTCCAATAGAAATGTGTCCCACTGAGATTCACAATATGTCGGACAAAAGTACTGTGGAAAGATGAAAAGGACTAGTAAACAAACACAAAATGACTTACAAGACAAAGTAAATTGCATCTAATTCAATTAGAAGATATTCCCCTCACTACTTAACTATTGGGACTCCAATGTGCCATTCACAATTTTATTAAAACGGGATGAATATGTTATTCTTGAAGCATATTACATGAGCCATCTACAGGTTTATAAGATGGCAGTGGTTGACAAAGATATTTCAGGCAAGTCTTTACGCTATTCTTTGTTTCTATTTCAGACAAGCTGAAAATAAAGTTTCAAATATTCAAACAAAACTCTACACACATCCATTTGTACTCTCTAGACATATAAGGAAATATGACGACAAAGTGAATGTCCACATACCTTGACAACAACGGTGGACAAAGTCAAAGTCTTGGCATTGTTAAACCCAATGAACCTTTCAGGACAAAGTACGTGATTTTTGTATTCATCCTCATATCCCTTGGGTACCCGTAGAAGGCGGACTCTGACATTTTTCAAAGATCCCGTATCCACCAAAGCAAATCCAAGCAGCATTGGCCCAATGTAGCAGAAAGACAACAAATTTGGAGCGCAAACCCTTAGTTTAGAATCAAAACAACCTACAACCCAAAACTTGTCAAGAGTGCAGACATTCACAATCGTCAAATTCTTGAGATTACCAGCAGAAATATCGATCTGCTCAAGATCTCCGACTTGACAATCTTCTAGATAAACATCCTCGAGTTTAGCACAACCGCTCGAAAGGAGTTTCTCAGCAGCATTGCCTGATATATGAACTCTAGTCAACTTAAGGCTTCTGATGTTACTGAACACAGCCGTAACTCTCAGCGGGATGGTGTCATGGAAATTGACTGTAAGAACTGCCAATGTATCGCAAAGAACACGAGGGAATTCCAGCCCATAGGCAGTGTAATCCCCATCAAGAATGGAAAGTTCTTGAACCTTTTGCCTAGCAGCAACACGAAGGAGTCCATTAATCTGATGTGTTATTGTGTTGTCAGAGTACAGGCAAATCCTCATAATTTGAGACTGATCTCTTAGAAGCAACGCCCACTTGATAAAATCCCAGAACTTGTATTGCGGCCCCAAAAGTTCAGAGTTATAGTCGTAATTATGCTGCACAAACCAATCCATGTCGAAGTTCAAGTAAGGCATCGTTGTCCAAATATACCGCCATCTTTTCGACAGCACACTGGTCCTCACAACGTCAAGAAAATCGAGAGAGGAAAGCACTTGGTGCAGAATGTCATCGGGCAAAAGGCTCAATCTATCAACAGGGTACTTTTTTGAACGGGGTGTTCTTGATCTCTTGCACAAGGAACCTTGCATGTTGCCCAAATTCAATACAGAACCCTAAAAATTGAAATTTACCTGCAGCATTGAAAGAATTACAGCCAAATTCATAACAACTCGAATGAAAAAAAAAAAACCAAACCCCCAAAATTAATCCCAAAGATCAAACGAATCACAACGAAACATCAACTCTACAACTTCTTTCCTTCTTCGATTACACGTATGAACAGAAAACATACACAAAAAATTTTTTGTTGCTCAATAACTCATAATTCACCAAAAATAAAGTAGATTACGAAAAAAAATGCACAGATATATGGTGAATTGAAAGAAAAAAAAAAAAACTTACAACGGCGGCACCATTCGCGAGTAAACCCTGCTTCTGAGAGAGAATCAAATTCAATCCGCTGTTTGGAGAGAGAAATAGAATTGATTTCTTCGATATTTGAACGAAAATATAATTGGATTTTGATTGTAATGTGATGCTTTGGATTCACTGTACATGGCGTGTGAGACTATTAATTACATCTTAATCTCAATTTAAATGGTAAATTGCAAGACAGTCCTTTATCTTTTCATATTTACCGAAATGACCCTGTTCTGGTAAAGATGGTAAATTACTATTCTACCCTTATCGTTTCATACATATAAATAGGGCTGTGCGTTGGTTGGTTTAGTTAAAAAACAGGCAGAAAACCAACACAACCCATCCAACCAACTTTGGTAAATATTGGAAACCGTTATCGACCCATTTTACATGGGTTGGGTGATGGTTGAAAACCAATTTAGTGGGTCAGTTGGTGGTTTGGTTGATGGGTTATCCATCTAAATACTTTTTTAATTTTTTTTAATATTTTATTAGTTGTTACAACGCTGTATCATTTATAAATTAAATGTGACTAGTTCAACAATATCCAAATAAAAGATTCAAAACATTACGGGCATATATATTGCAATTAAACATAAATATTTCAACAAATAATAATCGACCAAATATTTAGGCTATGTTTTAAAATTAAAATAGTTCAAATTAGATAATTATGTTAGATTTAGGCTTTTAGGATTGGAATGTGATAAATGTCGTTCGAGCTTTAATTACACCGTTACGACTTCAAACGTGATTTTGATCATTTTCAATTCCAAATTTTGCAAAACACGAAAAATAGAATTTGTAGTATTCTGAGTTAGTTTTCTAATCCAACTTGAATCACCAAAATTGGATGTCGGACGAGAAAGATATACATGAATCAATGAATATTGCCCACAACTTTGATGTATTGAGGTATCTAAAATTCAAAATGTTACGTACTCATGCATAACTTTGTCACATGACATCCAATCTAGCGGATTTAAGTCGGATTAGAAAGCTAACCCAAAGGACTACAATATTCGTGTTTCGAATTTTGCCAAAATCAAAATAGAAATATGTCAAAATCAGATTCGAAGTCAAAACGACATTAGTAAAATTGAAACGACATTTAATATTTCAGTTTAGGATTTTGGTCAATATTAAATAATTTAATAAATGTGATATAAAATAGAAATTTGAAATTAAAAATATTAAACATTTTAATTAATATTAATAAATAATAAATTAATAAATAAAGTTGGTTGGTCGATATTACCCGACTAACCAACTTTTTAGCATATTAGAAACCATTATCGACCCAATTATACATGGGTTGGTTGATACTATCGACCCAACTTCAATGGGTCGGTTGATGGTTGATTATCCATCACAAATTATGGGTCGAAATTGGGTTGGTTGGTGGTTAAAACCGACCCATGCACAACCCTACATATAATTACTTTTCGGCGCCCAAACCGGGCGTGAATCGAGCTTTTTTACGCCTAGTTTGGTCGTGAATCGTATTTTTCGGTGTCCAAATTGGTTGTGAGTCGCGTTTTCGCGATTTAAAGAACAAAAATGAACAAATTTTACCTCATTGGGTCCCGTATCTCGATGCTCATTCGATGCACTCATTTTTCTTTACAAATCGCTACAATAACATGGGTTTTGGAACGATTTCTAATATAAAAGCTATTAAAAATAAAATTGTAGGGTGTGAAAGATAAGTAGAAAGTGGATTATTTAAACCCGCATTCATAATTTTGCTACCGCGAATATCAGCTCCATATAATTTTATATATTAATTTATACATTTAAATATTGTTTTTTATTAATATAAAAATAAACAAATAAATTATAAATGATAATAATCCATAAAAAAATAGCTCTCCACTCTTCTTCTTCCCCAGCTTGACAGTTAACACCGATGAGCTCGCTGCTACTGCCCCGCACACCACCGCCGTCGCCGCCGCTCTCCGCCTCCGCCGCCGCGGCCCCTCCATTTCTTTCACCGAGAACCCACATCCCTTCACACGTATACAAACACCCAGCCGCAATCCTCCTCGAGATATGCACTTCCACGAAAGAGCTCCAGCAATTCCTCCCCCTCATCATGAAAAGCGGCCTCTACAACGAGCACCTTTTCCAAACTAAGCTCGTCAGTTTGTTCTGCAGATTCGGCAGCCTGAACGACGCCGTCAAAGTTTTCGAGCCCATCGAATCGAAGGTCGACCCGCTTTACCACACTCTCCTAAAAGGGTACGCGCAGCAGTCCAATCTCGATTCTGCTATGAAGTTCTTCTCTCGGATGAAGCACGACGGGGTTTCGCCGATTGTGTACAACTACGCGTATTTAATGAAAGCCTGTGCGGACAAATTCGATGTCAGAAGGGGTAAGCAGATTCATGCGCAGTTAATATTGAACGGGTTTTCGGACAATTTGTACTCCATGACTAGTGTGATGAATCTTTACGCGAAATGCAGGGAGATTCACGAGGCCTACAAGATGTTCGACAGAATGCCTGAGAAGGATTTGGTGTGCTGGAACACCGTTATAGCTGGTTTCGCTCACAACGGTATGCCAAAGAAGTCGCTCGAGTTAGTTTCCGCTATGCAAGAAGAAGGGCACATTCCGGATTTGGTCACCGTGGTCACCATTTTGCCTGCCTCTGCAAATATCGGAAATTTAAGGGTCGGAAAATCAATACACGCGTACGCCGTGAGGCACGGTTTAGAGTCGTATGTGAATGTTTCCACCGCCTTATTAGACATGTATGCGAAATGTGGGTTAATTAGGACCGCGCGTCATATTTTCGATTCGATGTCTTCCAAAACAGTTGTGTCTTGGAACTCAATGATTGACGGTTATTCTCAGAGTGGAGATTATTCGGAAGCATTGGATTTGTTCCAAAAGATGTTGGATGAAGGATTGAGGCCTAGTAATGTAACCGTTATGGGAGCTCTACACGCATGTGCTAATCTGTGCGACATTAGCCGCGGTCAGTTTGTTCACAAGCTGGTTATTGATTCAGGGCTCGATTCCGATGTTTCTGTAATGAACTCTTTGATTTCAATGTATTGCAAGTGCAAGCGAGTCGATTTAGCCGCCCAATTATTTCATAAACTAAGAATGAAATCTCTAGTCTCGTGGAATGCTATGATATTAGGTTACGCGCAAAACGGCTTCACGATCGAAGCCATTAGCCTCTTCTGCAAGATGCAAGAAAAGAACATGAAATTGGATTCGTTCTCGTTGGTAAGTGTTATTACAGCTGTAGCTGAGCTGTCAGTGCTGAGACAAGCGAAGTGGGCCCACGGTTTGGCCGTAAGAACTTGTTTGGACAAGAACGTCTTTGCCATGACAGCTCTCGTAGACATGTACGCGAAGTGTGGGGCTGTCCACACAGCAAGAAAGCTGTTCGATTCGATGGGTGATAACAGACACGTGACAACATGGAATGCAATGATAGATGGATATGGAACACACGGCTTTGGAGAAGAAGCTGTGGAGTTATTCGAGCACATGTGCAGCAAAGGGAGTGTAATAAATCCGAACGACGTAACTTTTTTATGTATAATCTCGGCTTGTAGCCACTCTGGACTTGTAAAACAAGGCCGTAAATATTTCACAATGATGAAGGAGAAATACGGGTTGGAGCCTAAAATGGACCACTACGGGGCTGTGGTTGACTTGCTCGGCCGAGCCGGTCAACTCAAGGAGGCTTGGGAGTTCATTCTGCAAATGCCGGTCGAACCGGAAATCAATGTCTTTGGAGCAATGTTGGGCGCTTGCAAGATTCACAAAAACGTCGATTTGGGTGAAAAAGCAGCTGATAAGCTCTTCGATTTAGAACCGGACGATGGTGGATATCACGTCTTGCTTGCGAACATTTACGCCATAGCTTCGATGTGGGACAAAGTTGCCAAAGTGAGGACCTTGATGGAGAAAAAGGGTATTCAGAAAACACCTGGCTGCAGTTCGGTTGACTTGAAAAACGAGGTGCACACTTTCTATTCGGGGAGTGTAAAACACCCTCAATCGGAAAGGATATATGCGTACTTGGGAGAATTGATTGATAGGATTAAAGAAGCTGGCTATGTACCGGATACTAGTTCGATACACGATGTGGAGGAGGATGTTCAGGAGCAGTTGCTTAATACTCATAGCGAAAAGCTTGCGATTTCATTCGGGCTTATCAATTCGAGTCCGGGTACTACTATTCATATAAGGAAGAATCTTAGGGTTTGTGGAGACTGCCATAATGCGACCAAGTATATCTCTCTTGTGACCGAACGTGAGATTATTGTGCGCGATATGCATAGGTTTCATCATTTCAAGAATGGGGTGTGCTCCTGTGGAGATTATTGGTGATCTTTATTGTGACCGTGAAATTTCAGATTGCGTTTTTGCTTTCGTTTCCTCTTTCTATAACACCCGGTGAAGGTTAGACCAGATGGATTTTTACCGTTGATCTACACACACCAACGTGGGTGTGTGTGTTTGTATGCTTATGAATGGTAAAGATCTATCCGGTGTATTGAATATATGCTGCATTTGTTGAAGAGTACATGATTTGTGGGTATATTGCTTGAAATATACTTTTTTTGGGGTCAAAATAGATTGAAGGAAGACTCAAAATTGATCTCTATTTTTATTTTATTTTATTTTATTTTTATGGAGAATAATATTATCTGAGAGATTGGACCATTTCTGGACAAAAGAATATTCAGAAATAATCCATCTCTTTATTTTCTACTATCTTTTACGATTCCCTTTTTTAAATTGTCTACTATTTAAAAAGAATCAATTAAAGTGGTTCTTTAACAGAATATTCCAAAGCGAAATAAAGGATCCACGTAGGGTATATATGTAATATTATATCTCTATATATATAGCCTCTGTATCTCACTCCTCACTGTATTGAAACTCGAATTCCATTACACAAACAGCCGCCTGAGTGAAAAATGGAGCAGACTTTCATTATGATCAAACCTGATGGTGTTCAAAGAGGCCTGGTTCGTTCTTTACTTTCTTACGGCAATTTAGTTTCTCCAATTTTTGTTGAGAATTCGTACATCTATCAATCATTACCGATTTTTTTTTTAATATTAATGTTATTTGTATTAATTCAGGTAGGTGAGATTATTGGCAGGTTTGAGAAGAAAGGTTTCACCCTAAAAGGTTGCTTTTTTGATTCTCTAATGTTGTTGTTCTTCATTAAGTGATGAAATGTCAACCCTGTAATCACTCATTGTGTTATATAATCACTTTATTTTTTCATCTTGCTTAATTATGATTTATGCTCAATTAGAGGCATGCATATATGTATGAAACTTCTCTTTTCGTATGCTAATTAGGGAAGCTTTCATCTAGTTCACGAGCTGAATAGATAAACTATTTCCGACAAAAATAATTATCAATTACGATTTTTCGAAAAACAACAATCGATAACCAGACATGAACTTTTAAAGATGCATTCGATTATCTGAAATATTATATTTTGTTTGTGAATTAATAAAATGGATTCTGCTGTTAAAACAGGTCTGAAATTTATGACAGTGGATCGCTCTTTTGCTGAAAAGCACTATGCCGATTTATCTGAAAAGCCGTTCTTCAGTGGTCTCGTTAAGTACATAATCTCAGGGCCAGTTGTTGCTATGGTTTGGGAGGGTAAGAATGTGGTGGTCACCGGAAGAAAGATTATCGGAGCCACTAACCCTGCTGACTCAGCACCCGGAACCATCCGTGGTGATTACGCCATCGCTATTGGCAGGTAAATTTCTTCATAATCGTGTTATTTATTTATCTATTTTTTTTTAAATCCGCACTGATTTCGTATTTTAGACGCATAGTAGGGTTGTTGTATTTTGAACTTTGTAGATAACTACACCTGATGAAACACATTCGAACAATAGATTTACACATGACTACGCACACATACATGTGGATGTGTGTAGAATATATAATAAATATGCAAGTGTATAAAAGTCTATAATAAGATGATTCGAATGCGCACAGGAATGTTATTCATGGCAGTGATGCAGTTGAGAGTGCAAGAAAGGAGATTGGTCTTTGGTTTCCGGAAGGAATTGCTGAATGGAGGAGCAGCCTTCACCATTGGATCAATGAGTAAAACTTGAAATTTGATCGAGGCTACGATTATTAATTATTATATGTATTGTCGTGGCTTATATATGTATCTTCAAGTTTAACTATTTTGCGTCTTAATTGTGAACTTTCTTGCCAAAATCGAATAAAAACTTGAGTGACGTAATATATTTTGCATTTGCATTGCTTCTTGTTACTGTGTGCGAACATCACACGAGCATCGACAAATACATGTACTAACAAAAGCAAGCTTGCAGCAAAGGAATTGAAAAGCTCTAATTACTTGCTTTAGCATTACAGACTAGCTTATAAGTGCCTCTTTTTATCCATTCCGAATAATCAGTCGAAAATAACCGAAAAAGCCCAAAAAACCTACAACCTGAAGATATAGAATCATCTTGCTTGGAAGCTTCTATTCATACCCTGGATAAAAAAAAACGGGAGAGCTATCTATTGAGTGAGAAGGCTGTAGCAGGGTAAGTCTTCAAGTCGTGCAATGTCTTCTTGCAGAAGCTCCCTCTCCAGCTGTCGCCGAGTAGCTTTCATCACAGTCTAAGCGTACCATGTCAGAAAGAAAATAAGAAAATGAAACAGAATTAAATCAGACAGAGCATAACCAAAAGAAATATTCGTGAGCAAAAGGGATGAGAAACATACTTCGAAACTATTTTTCACAATGAGAATTTTCGAAAGAGGATGTATAAAGACTATACGAGAATGTTGACTATTCTTTAAACACATGATTAATTCTGAAGAATTAGTGAGAATACTTACATTGAAATCCATGTAAGAAGCATGCATGGCAAGCCATTGATGATCCATTAGTTTGAATGTGATACAATATAAAAGGTCAAACGCTGCTTCATTTTCTGTCATATCAAAATGAAAGAAACCTCAACGGAAGTGCAAAAAAACTTGGAACTAGCTAGAAGTTCGACAAAGAGTAAACTTATACGCAAACCAAATTAATAGCATGTATTATCATAGGGGAAGAGTGTAAATGGAAACCATTACCTGCAAGAAACTTCAAGAAGGTTGCCCCAACAAGCGTTCTGGGCTTCACTGCAAAAAAGATGAGTAAGATATTAGCTGATGAACAAACAGCAACAACTTTTTCACATGCTCGCTAAGATATGTTAGACTGGAGCTACTGCCTATGTGTGCACAACAGAGTTAATCCGAATGCCGAACAGCATATTGCTATTCCTAACCTTAGGACAAAGAATGTAACTGCATGCACTCAAAGAAAATATTCGAGAAAAGATTGTTGTAACACAGGACCAAGTGGTTCTTCAATCACATCTCAAAAGAAGCATAGGCGAAAACAAATAAAAAGATCTAGCTACTCAACCCCAATTTCCAGAAAACCAAGAAATGGGAGGATAAACAGCCACTTTATGTTCGATAATTTTTCATTTTACAAATAATTTTGGCACTAACATAGATATAAACTGATTAGAAACTTTTTCCAGTCAAAACTGCAGATAAAGGATGCATTTAAATCATAACATAAGAGAAGGAAAATAGGACAAAATGACCTTATTCTAAGACTGATATTGCCTGTTTTGCGTCAAAACATTTTAAAAGTTACCTGCTTCAAGGTCAAGTATCTGAATAAGCATGAAGGTGATGTTCACACCAGCTACAGCAAAGGGGTATTCCCACATGGCTCGATCACCTTCCTTCTTCCGAAGAAGATCCTGAAAAGATTTCTGTGAAAATACACGTGGTAAGATTTTGTACGAATAAAAAATTCAACATAAATGATGAAGATAGATGACCATAAGGGCCAAATCCCTTAAATACTAGATATGGAAATTTGAGATGCCAAATGAGCTTATTGAAAACGATTGTTCTCGTTTACTCATGAGTAGCCTTTCACTTCTCTCAAGGCAATCTAAGCACTAAGCTTGTGAAAGCCACATTTTTCCTAATATTTCTGGGACTATAGCTTGGGCATATAAGTTCTCCATGCTCCATCCAAGAGCTTCATGCCAAGGCAATGATGCTCTCACAATTCAAATAAATGTACAATGACACTATTATTTAAAGGAAACAACACAAGCATGACTTTTTCTTTCTTGAATTTTGAACCTAGTTCACAGGCTTTTAGAGGGACATTTTTGTTCACCAAGTATCCAAAACCTTACATGTCTGAGGCAGAAATTTAGTACAAGGATCAATTTGGAGAACTTAAAATAGATGTAATACATATTATAGTATCTCAACTTACTATGCAAGTGTACAGATGAAAACTAGCTCATTCGTTTTTGCATGTAGAGATCCATAAAACACAAAATAAAAAGATAAAATCAATCCAGAGGAACAAGTTCAATCGGAATAATATAGAGTGGAGAGCAAAAAAAACATTACAGAGACTGGAAGACAGGATATTTATCTCAAATACAAAAATGTTTCTTGTACACACACAGAGAAATAGATAGATGAAGGAGAGAGGGAGTGAACATACCGGAAAGTTCCTGCCGAAGTATAACAAATTTTCCAACGATATGAAACCTCCACCCCTACAAAAATAAAAGCCATAGTTTCAAGGATGAAAGCAACTAGGCAATTAAAAGTCAAGCCAATTTGGTTCAAGGGATCGAAATAAAGTTCAGGAGAGTGATAGAATACCTAAAATCTGTAGATGGGTCTTTTCCCTGCCAACCCATTTCCTTCCACTGCTCTGATATTAAACCACAGAGTTCTTCCCCAGGAAAGGCTGCATGCCACAATGCCCTTAAAGCTTCCTGCCAAACAAAAGCCAAAAGATTATGACAAAAAGATGTATCTATATAGGTCATATTTAATTATTTATATTAACCAACAGTCTTCCAATGATATTATGGATACCAAATAACTTCATAACAAACAATACCTGATGTTCGCGAACAGAGCTATCGTAAGCAACATCTATCCGGCTCTGTAGCCTATGTAGGCATTCCTCCTGGTACATAAATGATAAAGGAAAAAATCAGGATCTAGTAGTGAGCAAATGCATAACAAAATACTACTCCTTGGACATGTTATTTTGAAGCAGTTCCTATCACATTTGAGCTGTTCTAGCTGTTAAAACACAAATTTATGCAGGACCATGAGAAAAGAGCAGCTATGCAAGTAGGACATACTGGAATTTACTACGCCACGTTTCATGTTCGATCATGCTATGCCATCTAGATCTATCAGAAACACACTAGCATTTAACAGAAAGCTAACTAGATCACATTTAATCAGAAAAAGAAGATAAAAATAACAAGTTTGGAACAATGAAAAATGAAATTGATACATGAATGACTTGCAGAAGATGGGGTGGGGGAGGGGGGGTGGTAGGGGTATATGAACATTGCACTAAACAAAAAAATCAGAGATTTCAACCAAATTCAGAGAGTAATTATTACCTGCGAAGCTGTCAAATCAAATGATGGCCGAGCATCACTGTCTCTTCTTTGAGCACAAACGCATGAAAGGCCTCTGCCTAGCCATGCAGCAGATCCTGCCACAATCTCCACTGTAAGAAAGGAAAAATGATTCGCAAAAATAAACAGGAAAGATACCGGCACACGTTTTCATAGTTGTATCACATTCATATATCATAAGCAATGTTTATCCAATACATGTTTAAAAGTTTTCATATTCTTCAGATACTATTCAAATGAACATAGGTATAACACGTACGAACATATTCAACACCTCAAAGATAATTTAGAAGGATCAGAACTGAATGGAGCAAACATGTATTATCAGAAAGCTGTGCAATTTACCCTGGCTCTAGTGGCACAAAGAGCCCCATGCATCACAGTGATTGAGTAAAACAGTAGTAAACACGTTGACGCTTTATCCGATACAGAAGATCTGCTCTATTATTTCAAATAATATACAACAGTAACTCTATTTCAAATATATAATTATGCAACGAAAAAAACGGTAAAACATCAAGTTCAAAAGATTGCTGCATATCAATAAAACGAATAAACAGATTGCAGAAAGATCAAATTGCAGACCGATTTGGAAACAGCAAAAAGGAATCCAACCACAAATCTTAATGCAAATAGGCATCAATTAACGTAACTTTTTTTCTCAATTCACAATCCACAATCCACAACTTCAATGCACACTTTTCTACACAAAACCACACCAGAAGAATGTGGATATAAATTCAGAAAAAATAAACGGACAGAAAAATAAGCATAAGAAAAACGGAATATACCAGAAGTAGAATGGCAAGCATTTCCTCGATCCAATCCTTGAGAAATTCGCCTCACCGCCACGAACGATCCTCCTCCTCCTCCTCTATCATCCATTCCTCTGCTCCTACTCCGTCTTCAATTACGATTATTTAATTCTTTCCGAATACTTCCCCAATTCAATTCCGCCAACTGAAATTCGACTACGAATTCAAATCTGAAATTAATTATTAAAAAAAAAAAAAAAACCGACTCCGAATGTGGAAGGAGTTGGATCAACAATTTGCCGTTCCTCGAACCGTTTCACTATCGATCGAGAAACGGAATATTCCTCTGGTAAGATTCAAGATCTATCGTACATCAGCAAAAAAAATCTCCGCTGTTCAATTGCATTTGCGAGTATACATTGCATTTACTGAGGAGAACGTTCGAGATTTTTGTATGTATGTGCAGGTTTTTTCTACTCAGGTTATATATACATATATATATGTATATATAGCTAGAACATAGGTTTTCTCTCTCACTCTAAAAAATCTATATATGTATGTATGGATTGAGTTTTGTTTTCTCTCTCTAGAAATGGAGATTCTGTTAATGTTGGTGCAGTTCTGTTGAGTTGGGTGGCCTGCGCCTGTTTTTAAGAGAGAGAAAGAAGAGAGAGAGAGAGAGATTTACTTGATGAATTTATGATCTGGATCTTGATAATGTTTTTTTTTTATTTTACCTTCTTTCCTTCCTTTTTATATTTAAAATAATATATAATTCAATATTATAATATATGGTCAAATTACAAAAAACTCCTCTTGTTTGGATAATTACAACCACCTCTCAACTTTTCAAATTTAGTGGAATCTTCGAAATTATATGGAATATTATCACTTTTGTACTCGTGATCATAATATGTGTTTTTTGGCTTGTATATATCAGATTGCGGTGCATCAGAAACTGCATTTTTACACATAACGAGTAAAAACTATAGCATATTCCACGGAATCTAGATGATAATGTAAGTTTGACACCATAAGGGTAAAGGTGTAAGAAAAAAACATAGTTGAGGGGTAAATGTAATTATCCAAACAAGAGGAGTTTTTTTGTAAATTAACCATACCTCAGGGGTGTTTGTAATTTACCCATATGAAAAATAATATATCTATGAAGTATAGGATATTTGTTATAGAATTAATCATGCACTTAATTCGTGCCGTTTAATTTGCCTCATTCATTAAAATAAAATGAATAATTGCACCCCAAAAAAAAAAGAAAAAAAAAAAACTAATCAGTTTAAAATTTCAGTGAAAAATAATAAAATTTCCTAATTTTATTTCATCATTCTAGGTGCATTACATAATTAATTATTATTTATCAATTTTACTACTTTATTAATGGGATATATCAGTTTTCAAAACGAAAATAACTTGGCATGAAGTTGGTAAAATATTTTTTCATTTTTATTTTTTTTATTTTTATTTTTATTTTTCATATATAAATTATGTAACAATTAGTCACATTATAAAAGTAAGTTTATATATTTGATTTGGTTGTTGTATATTAATATTCCACGAAAATACCTTTAAAATATGTAGTTAATTAAAAATGACCAAATTAACCTTGGACACAAGTTTGTCAAAGTACGACTAATTTCCTATGTTCAAGTCAAAGTAACGACTATGCTTAGACCCTATGAGTCCACGTAAGTCTTAGATAAATTTCATTAAAATAAATAATAGTGCAAAATTCACTTTCAACCCCTCAAAAATTCAGTGTTTGCATTAAACCCCCTATAAACAAGAAAAAGAGGAACTCCCCCCTTGAAAATACAAAATGCATTGCACTTTGCTCCGATTGTAGAATCTTTGGTAGAGTGAAGTGTTTTAGAAGGGTAGTTTTGTCAATTAATGTGAATCAGTTCGCCTTTAGTATATCCACCGTAATATTTCGTTAAATGAGATTATTCAGATGATCAATTATGACTTATGAGTACTCTTAATATCCCGAATCAAATCACCACCAGTTGTAAGGTAAAAAAACGTAAATTTATGATGTTTGTAAGAAAAAAATGCAATTTGAATGTTTATTAACAAAAGTGGGTATTTCGGATACAGAAAAGTTGGATTTCTTCTTTTTCTTCGTTCTTATTTAAGTTTCATTTATGATGATTAAATTTGATTCCTGAGAAAAATAGAAATATTAACTTCTCACAATTGATCAAGAAAGAATGTCATCATTTAAATGCGAAATTCGGCTAGGGAATTATCAAAGCGGAATCGAAGCACTTTAAATGACAAAACTACCCATCTAAAACACTTCACTCTACCAAAAATTTTACAATCGGGGCAATGTGCAATGCATTTTGTAATTTCAAGGAGAGAGTTCTCCATTTTATGTTTGTCGGGGGGTTTACTGCAAACAAGTAATATTTGGAGGGGCGAAGTGCACTTTGCCCTAAACAATATTAAGCACTAATTTTTATTTTATTTTTTGCAAAAGCGTCCATTTAATTTCTAGAATTTAGTCTTTTCTCCTCACATGGGATGTTGGCCAAGCGTGGACCATATCATCATTTGTATAAATTTATTAAAAAATAATTTTGACCACACACTCACACACACAAACACACACACTAACATGTGTACTTTGCTTGTGGTTACACGTATAAATGATATAAAAGGCTTCCAAGTGATGGTTATGGCCTACACGCATGGGCTTGTCAACAAACTTTGTTGGTTTTCTTTCTTTGCTATTCAAGCAATAACTTTTCATTTCATTTACTTTTTTTTTTTTTTGTTTTTTGGATAATTTATTTGATAAAGGGCTCATATTGGATTTAAATATTTTTTTGTCATTTTTTCCAAATAAATAATATATAGCATAGGTGTTGGAATTTCGCCCGACTAATTATGCGGAGGACACTTTTTTGATTTCTACTAAATCGTTTGTTAAATAAATACACGCGGTCGTACTGTATACATATCTTGAGTGTATATGTCAACTGCATGTAGAGGTGAAAATTGAAACTGAATTTTCGAATTTTGTGTATTTTTTCGATTATATTTGCATTATTTATTTGGGTGTAGTTACTTTTTTTATTTGAGAATAGTGGATTATATAAGTGCAATTCAAAAGTAGCAAAAAATGAAAAAGGTAGATTTAGGTAAAAGGTAGGCAATTTTCAATTTGGGGATGTTATGATTTTCATGTGCCAACCAATTGTGGTCCATTATTCTTTTGCTTTCTAAATTGTTCCTCAATCCTTACTTTTTTTTTTCTTTTTGCATATATACCTAATTGTTTCACATTAATAATAAAAAGGAAAAAAAAAAGAAAAATTAAGATTTGCTTTTTCTCCAAATGTCACATTAATTTCAATAACGAAAGGCAACAAAACATATAATAGAAGATTTGGTGAAAGCTACGAAGCTATGTTACACTTCAACATCAAACTAACATTAGGGTCCTCCAATTAATATTATTAATATTTTGCACGAAAATTTTGCAGGTTAAGTAATCGGTAGTGTTTGATTTACTATAATAGTTTGATCTACTATTTCGAGAATTTTTTTGGATGTACTAGATTGCATTAGAATCCGATTACATTAATTTTAGTTACATGTAGCGTGTTTGTATGAAATACGTCTCCAACGTGTTATGTTAATTATTTGCTTTGAACGATTGATAAGGTGAAGTTGGTCCGATGTCTTTTTTGTTCCAATATCTTGGATTATAGTAGTTTTATATTATAATTTTTTTATTGTGTTTTGTTGAATGTTATTTTAATCTTGAATTTGATCTTATATCATTAGATCTTTGCAAAAGTAATTATTCTTAATTATATTATATCGGGTAAATTACAATCATCTCCCTGAGGTAAAGTGCAATTACAAAACAACCCATTTTTTTTAGAAATTACATCTAGCTATAAATTACATCTAGCTCCCTGCAGTATGTAAATTTCTTACATCCATCACATACAAAAGGGCGTTAATGTAAGTAATTTATGAATTACAGGGGGTGAATGTAATTATAATAAAAATAAGATTTTTTTCGTAAATTGATCTTACCTCAGGGACCGTTTGTAATTTACCTATTATATTTGATGTTACACACACTTACACCACCCATTGCACAAAATATTAGGGGAAAAGAATATAAAAGTGGTTACTTTTTAAATGTATATTTGAAGTACAAGATTTAGGTAAAGGTACATTCTATTTATTCATTAATTTACTCAAAGCATCTTATGAATTCTTGGATCCAACAAAATGGATACGGGAAAATTATTTATTTATTACTCCTAGTACTTTTAATGTTTATTTTATTTTATTTTATTAGGAAAAAAAACAATGTACAAGTAGTAATAGCAAAGGTACAACTAATCTATCCAACCAAGGTGAAGAGTACCTTCAACGGCCGGTCTTCATATTAGACTCGGTCAATACTTAGACGTGCTAGTCATGTTGTGCCGACCCTAAATCGAATCGAATCTCGAGTTCTTGCGTAATTACCTTAAGTTCGGTCAATTAGTGGTATTAAGTGCTTATTTTTAAAAATTTGGGGTATTTGTAAATATTTTGGAAAATGAACTTAAATAGAAAATGTTGGTCTAAGGGTTCTTTTTAAATAAAAAGTTTAAAACAAACGTATTATAAGAGAAGCAAAATTAATTATTGATTTTACAACAACTGAAAACAAATTATAAGCAAAAAAAAGTTCAGAAGCTATTTTAAAAAGTTTTTGCAAACACCACCTATATCTAATCCAATTTATGATATTGTGTAAATTATGTCGATTTTATGACAATTAGGTGTAATTTTTCATTGAACAGTGAAAATAATATAATAATATGAGATTTCAAGAACCATTTTCATATTTATTGGGAGTAGGATTATCCATAGTGATTAGAATAAAGCACAACATTTTATGATCCAATATTGTGAGATTGAAAATATTGATATTTTTAAGAAAATGATGACCATGTAAATAAGTATAGGCACAATCAACAATGAATTAAATTAATTAATTGGTTTACCCCAATGTGGTTTAGATCCAAACTTTCCCTTCTATAGTAATAAATAAATAGATTTCGATTTTCGTAGATTTATCACATATGATTTTTTTTGGCAATTTCGATTGCTTGTGATAAAATCGAACAATGAAAAAACCGAGCTAACGGTCCTCCTCCGCGTATATAAAATTACTAGTACTAAGGACGCACTTATTAATTATTATTATTATTATTATTATTATTATTATTATTATTATTATTATTATTATTATTATTATTATTATTATTTATTTATTTATTTATTTTGATAAGTAAAGGCCTCAAGACTTTACGAAACATTTCAACTTGTAGTTGTCCATCCACTTTTGATATTTGTGTCCAAAATTGGGTACAATAAATAATATTAAGGCCCACTAAACAATAAATGTGTGGTGGTGGGCCCAGGGCCCACTACTGTAAGGATTTGTTGGGTACATCTACATAACAAAATGGTTTTTGGGGATCACTATAACAAATCCCAACTTTTGCTTACTTGAATACCAAAAAAATAAACAATAAATAATTAATGGTAAATTACTTTAATCCCCTTAACGAAAATTAAAACAAAAAAAATATTACAAATACTATTTTTCTTTCTTAAATACCAAATAATCAAAAACCCTAAAAAACAATTTCCCTCCTCCCTCACAAACCCCTCACCTCCTCCACCTCCTTCTTCTCCCTCCCCCAAAAACCTCAAAACAAAAGAAATCAAAACCTTACACAACTTGCAAAATGGCGTCAAATGACAATAGAATGGTAGTTTACGAGCAAGGAGAACCCATTAAGGTATGTATTCATGTATTTTTTGAGCTAAAACATCGATTTTCATTCTTTTTTTTTTTTTTTAAATTCGCCATCAACTTTCGACACATACAGGTCGAAAATGTGCTTATTTTTCGACATGTATGTGTCGAACAACATAATAATTGATATTTTACTCATTTTCGACACTTAATTGTCGAAAATAGCAGTAACATTCGACAGTTACCCGTCGAATTTTGCTACTATTGATACACGTAAAACCTACGTATAAATAACCGCAAGTGTACAGTATCGCGTTTTGTAGAATAGTGAATTCCAGATATCGATTCATAGGGAATTAAGTTCCTAAATCTACCAAGTACCGTAATTATACTATCCTAAACTTTATCTAGACGAGAGAAAAAGATGGGAGATGACATGAAGCCAAAAGGAAACAAAAATAAAAACAACGGTCCGCCAGGACAAGCGAGGAATTCCGACGTGTGATGGCTTCTAGGGTAAAATCCACCAGTGTACTATCGATAAAGATCTACAAATCCGAATCTAATATCAATTCTATATTCGCTAACCCAGACACTAAAATACCCTAATCCCCGTCTCCAGTGTAGTTAGAGTCTACCCACAGGTCCGACGTCTACGTTCAAAATCTGATATTAAGAGAGCATTTAGGTCAAGTCCTTAAGGGCTACCCGAGGTGCATCACGTCTCCGTTTCCACAACCCAAGCTATGTTTTCCTAAAATCAAACGAGAAATCCTCTCTCGAGTTCATTCCCATTTAGAATCAATTCAACTGTTGGCCAAACAATCGAAAGCATTTAATACAGGAAAACATAAACATAATCAAAGAACGACAAATAGATCACAGATCTGGAAATCAAAATCAATATATACAAGGTTTCATCTCCCTAAAAGAAAATGTTCAGTTCATTACAAATATAGCATCAAAATGAAGAACACGAGAAATTATAAACTAAACGTAAAGAAAAGCTTATGAAAAACCCGAGTCGAAACCCTCGTCGAAGCTTCCCGCGAAGAACAGGCGAGAAACGAAGAGAAAACCGAAGAAGAAGTCGAGAGATAATCCAGAGATGGTCGAGATCTTCAAAAATGAAGAAGATACCTTCTATTTATAGTAATAAATCAAAGAAAAATATCTCGTCTCGAATTCTGTGCCCAGATCGCGATCCGGCAGCCTTGGAAACTGCGCACCGCCTTTCCAGATCGCGATACGGGAATGGTGGATCGCGATCAGATTCTTGATCAAAAAATGTACTGTGAGACCCCCCCAGATCGCGATCCAGGAAGGCTGGATCGCGATCTGGGTCCTGATCAAGAAAGCGTTATGTAAGACCCCCAAAATCGCGATCCAGAAAGGCTACATCGCGATCTGGTCTTCTGCGCCAACTTAAAACATTGTTTTAACCCTTTTTTAGCCCGTACTTTGAGAAACGATATATCACCGCCATGATAGACCCAGGCCCCTCGAATATCGGCAAGGCACTTATGAAGTCCAACGAAAACGACTCCCATGGTTGATCGAGGATTGAGAGTGGTTCGAGTGACCATGTCGGCTGCTTGTTTTCCACCTTGTCTTGTTGGCAAACAAGACAAGTCTTGACATAAACGTTGACGTTGTCCCGCATGTGAGGCCAAAAGTAGGCCATCTCGAGTAACGCCATGGTTCGCCTTTGACCCGGATGCCCCGCCCATTTGGTGTCGTGGCATTCTTTGATGAAGTCCTTCCTCAAACTGCCCCACTTCGGAACAAGGAGTCGTCGTCCCTTCGTGTAGATTAGGCTGTCCTCTACCCAAAATTGCCTCTTCTTGCCTTTCTTGACGAGTCGAAGTAGCTCATTGGCCAATGGATCATGTTCGAGCCTTTCTCGGATCATGTTCGAGCCATTTTCAGATCATGTCGGCCAAGTTCCCCCTTGTTGAGTTAATAGCTGCGAGTTCGGCCTTTCTACTTAAAGCATCGGCCACAACGTTTCCCTTCCCCGATTTGTACTCCAAGACGTAGTTTAACTCTGCTACAAAATCTTGCCACCGTGCTTGCTTTGGCGAGAGTTTCTTCTGTGTCTGGAAATAGCTCGTGGCAACGTTGTCCGTCTTGACGACGAATGGCGCGCCTAATAGATAGTGTCGCCATACTCGAAGGCAATGAATGATGGCGGTCATCTCCTTCGACCATGTAGCGTCGCTCCGTCTTGTTGATCTTTCGGCTCTCGAAGGCTATCGGATACCCCTCTTGCATCAAGACCCCTCCAATGGCGAAGTCGGAAACGTCCGTGTGTAACTCGAACGTCTTCCCAAAGTCCGGTAAGGCGAGGACCTGCTGCCTTTAAGTCCTCGAATGCCCATTGGCATGAGTCGGATCACTCCCACGCGTTGTTCTTCTTGAGCAAATCGGCATGTGGCGCCGCTCGTGTCGAGTACCCTTTTATGAACAGTCGATAATAAAAAACTAAGAAATGAATGGAGTTCGGTTACCTTTGTCGACGGTTCCCACTCGGTAATAGTCTTGATCTTTGCTCCATCCATTTGGAGTTGCCCGTGTCCGATGATGTGGCCCAATCATTGGACCTCCTTCTTGGTAAAGTCGCACTTCTCCTTCACGAATAGCTCGTTCCCCCGAAGTACTTGGAATGTGGTTAGCAATTAGCATGCTCTTCCATGGTGTCGTTATAAACAATGATGTCGTCTAGGATAGACCACCACAAACCGATCCAAGTATGGATGGAACCACGATTAGCTTGATTAATGTTTTTTTTTTTGGGCAGGAGGAAGATGGGAAAATATGCAGATATAGAGTTAATGTGGTCCGAAGAAGTGTATATTACTGCTTCGGAAGAGATGGTGAAGGAAGTCAGTGAGGCAATGGATTCACTGAAATCGAATTTGGCAATCTATTATGACATTCCTGCCCTTTTGAACTACCTTACACCTCCAACAATAAACGACGGTGATGATGATGGCAATAATGACGAGGATGATGATGCAACCAAAAGATTAATCGCGCGTATTCGGACTAAGAACAACGATTGCACAAATGCGTCAAATGATGGATCTGATTCAGTACCTGAGCGAGACTATGGCATTGTCTTACCGTCCTCAATGGTATGGGAATTGGGAAGGATGGGTATGGTTATGTGGACACATACCCAGCGTGGTTCGATGAGGTTGTGTATGTGACAACTAAGTTTATGGACCAATTCGAAAAGGCAGCCGAATCTTATTTCAAGAAAACTAATGTGATTACGCCGATGGTCCACCAGTTTCAACAGATGCACCTTCAAGCACCTGATCGTGGCCATAAGTTGCTCTGCTTTAGACATATTTTGCTACCTTATTTTTACTTACGAATACATATTAGTCTGGTTTCGCATTGTGGCGTTTAGCTACCGTATTTTTGCTACGGTATACTACTAAACAGCATTCAAAACTTCATCAATAACAACGATTCCATAACAAGAAAAGATTTAAAAAGCCAAACATATTTTGTCCATCAAGAAAATTAGAAAAAAGCAGAGTAATCTACAGTTATCCAATACAAATCACAAGGCACAATAATAGGCACATTATCTTTACAATAATTCAAAGCACTAAAAAAGAAAAAGCAACAGATCAAACTAGCCCATGGCGTACTTGTGGGTCCAGCTCCTAGCAGTCTGCTCGTATTTGACCTTGTCCGTTTTGTACATGTGAGCTATTTCCGGTACCAAAGGGTCGTCTGGGTTTGGATCGGTCAGAAGTGAACATATCGACAGCAAAACCTGAAAATATACATTGGTCAAACTCTATAATTGAAGAAATCAATGATTGATTTGTGTGTGTGTGTGTGTGTGTGTGTGTGTGTGTGTGTGTATTAAGGCCTCGTTTAGTTGTTAAGATAAGATTAAGTAATCATATTAAAACCCAATTGTATAATTGGACTAGAGAAAGTCCAATACGACCCGTAAATCGAGCTCACTACTCAAAAAGCTATTAGACTAACCATACATCAAATAAGGTTCAATCATATAATTAATCATGACTATGAATCTTACCAGCCAAACAAGGCCTAAAGATAACTCTTCCTAATGAAAATTGTGGTAAAAAAAATTCTCTACAGAAGGAGCTCAATATAGAAGGCTAACTCTATGATTAGTTATTTTGCAATTTGATTATTTTTATGAAAAATTCTCTAAGAAAAAATATGCTGCCGTTTTATCATATTATGCAGATTCCATAAAGCAATGGGTTATGATTTTAAATAAATTCAATGTAAGCAAACAAGGGTCAAACAGCAATACACTCAATGCGAAATATGCATTGCCAGAATAATAACGAAACCCGATAAGTAACGAAACTAGATTATTTTAATGCTAATTCAGCCTCTTAGAATTGGAAAAGACGAATTATAAAATGCAATTATGTACATGTCAGCTACTCGCATTCGAAAATACGTAAAGTACTCGTGCAGTGGTACAAATACGCATAACCCAATCATTCATAAACAACATGCAGTATATTTTTAATGATTACTAACAGCACTATATTTTGAAAGAATATCTCTTGCAATATATTTCGAAGGGTGAATTAGAAATCTACGAAATAAGAGGAAAAGTTTGAGGTCATAGAAAAATAACCTTTGAAATAGTTAAGGCAGGGCTCCACTGCTCCTTCAAGATATCAAGGCAAATACTGCCATTGCTGTTAATATTCGGGTGGAAAACTTTTGTCCTGAATGCGACCTGAAAATTTAGAATAACAATTTAAATTCTGACAAGCATATGGTAATAAAGTACACAAGTAAATCTACAAACAGAAACTTGTCAAATACAAAGATGAAAGAAGCAAATCCAGTAAAATTGTGTCTTAGAAGCATTGCTTTACAGTTTACCCTGATTTCTATTTCTATGAAAAGCAACAACTAATATTCTTAAATCAAAATTATGCTTGAAGATTCTGATTTTCAGATTCTTCATTAAGTTTCCAAGTTTCAGCTCAATACCATAAACACTCTTCATTACCTTTTACTAAGAGATGGAAAAAAGGGATGACTTAGAAAGAATAATACGAAGAAAAAAATTAAAGACTGAGCAAGAGAGGGCAATGGTGCTCGAATATTTTTCTTAATGAATTCGCAAATGTTAAGACGGGCAAAATTTCAAGTTTAATGAGACCACGAGTCCCTTAGAGCATCTTATTCAAGGAAGTTAACTCTCGAGTATTTATAGAAACAATAAAACTATATACTCAAATGCATTTGATGCAAGAAAAATCTACAATCATATGTTCCAAGAATCATTGGTTTGAAACATTCTTCTTTAACTCTTTCATAGATTGTAAGTCGGAAAAAATCCACAGTTCCGAGATTATAACTATTTACAAGAAAAGCATACCTTTGGGGGTTTGAATGGATAATCAGGGGGGAAATGAATAGTGACTAGAAAAACTCCCCCGGAGTACGGACTGTCTTGTGGGCCCATTATCGTTGCTTGCCAGTGAAACATGTCCTCTCCAACAGGTCCTGTCAATGTCAACAGCAAACTAATTATTTTAGAAAAAAAGTATTAAAGCAGATTGTAAGATTTTAGCTCTGTTTTGTCGAAAGCGATCATATAATAAATGCAATCACTTATGATCGTAATCCAAATACATCGAGACAAACAACAAGCTGAAGTATATTAGAATAAACTTTACAATGAAATCATAGGAATATACAAAATCAGATTCAAAACAATTTTTGTCATAAAGCTAATTACTCGATAAACAAATTACAGCTGGCGGCGAAAGGGTTTAACATAGTATGCCTTTACAATGTGCACAAGTCTACAAGCATAATCAATTGACATTTAACAACTAAAACAATTCTAAAACACTTAGGCCTTGTTTGGTTGCCAAGAGAAGATTAGCCAAAATCAGATCAAATAGTCCAACGAAAACCCAATTATTTTATCGGCCACCGGGACGTCCAACAAAAAAGCTCCCTAAAAGGCAAGATAAGCCATAATAGCATAATATTTGCGGGTCGGCCCGGTAAGTTATCGGGATACAAAACGTCAAACAAAGTTCAATTATTTAGTTAATCTTCTCAACCAAATGAGGCCTTAATAATTCGTACTTCTTTTTCTTTTCTTCTTTGCCAAATAATCTACATCAAATTTCAGTCATTTTAATTTAATTTGACAGCTCCACTTGAGTTAAATATTATCATGCCTTCAAATGAAAAACATTCATCAGACGAATTATAGAAAACAATAAATCTTCCACCTTTTTCAGTACGAAACACCAAAAACCTAATATAGCATTTCTACAATCAACAAATGGTCAAAATCGACAGATGTGAGAAACCCCAAAGCTAAATCTACAAAAATTCCAACGGATCAAATCTCGGAACACTGTAATATCAACAACACATAAAAAATGGAACACGTATTGCACAAATCAATTAAATACGAAATATATAAATAGTACCGGCGCTGCAGGAAGTGGGTGGGTCTTTCTGCAAATCCTTGAGCTCCTTCAGGATCCTTTTCGACGCCATCGAACGAATCAACAAAGGTAGGATTCGATCTGCTGAATTTTATTTTTAAATTAAAAATAAAAATGAGGAACCCCAACGAAGAGGAAAGTGTTGCTGCAAGCGATATGTGTGTGTAGGTATTGTATTTGTACGTAGAGAGAGAGAGAGAGAGAGAGAGAGAGATGTGGTGTGGACTGAACCGAGTAATCCTTTTTCTTATTTTATTTTATTTTAGGGTAATAATATAATATAAATTAATTTTCCACCCCTCAAAACTATTTTCTACCCGTCAAACGCCCATAATAAACTATTAAAATTGCGAAAATGCCCTTTTAACTTCAGTACATTTAATTGAATAGAAAAACAAATATATTTTAGTGTAATGTATTATTGTTTATTTAATAAAAATAGTTATTTTAACTCTATATTTGATATAAAATAAGGGTAATTTACAAACACCCCCTAAGGTATGATCAAATTATAAAAACACCCCTCTTGTTTGGATAATTACAACCACCCTCGCAACTCCTCAAGTTTAGTGGAATCTTCGAGATTATATGGAATATTATCACTTATGTACCCGTTTTATCTCATTCGAACTCTACATTATGAAGCAAGATGATCATAATATGTGTTTTTTAGCTTGTATATATCAATTTTTTGTGCATTGGAAACTGTATTTTTACACAAAACGAGTACAAACTAGAGCATATTCCACGGAATCTAGATGATTATGTTGAATTTGGCAACATAAGGGTGGAGGTGTAAGAAAAAATCATAGTTGAGGGGTAGATGTAATTATCCAAATAAGAGGGGTGTTTTTGTAATTTGACCATACCTCAGGGGTGTTTGTAATTTTAACTCTATATTTGATATAAAATAATTGGTAATATTTTATTATTGCTATATATTTGATGTGGTCAAAGAACAATAGAACTCTCATCATCTTAATCTTGGCTTCCAGACTAACTCACAACGCTCGAGTTATGTTCAAAGATCGAGGATCTTCAAAATTCGTAAAATATTAAGAATTAATTAAATCAAATATTTAATGATGATTAAGTTATTTATAGTTCAAATTGATTCAATCATGGCTTCCATAAATTGGGCCTACTTTTAGAAATTGGGCCTCCTCTTTAATAAAACGGACCACATATAGTCACTATTCACCTAGCCGATTGTTAATTGTTTTAATTTATCAAACGATATGTAAAAAAACCTAATTCAAACAATACTATACATGCATATATATATGTTTTTTTTTCTTCTTTTCTTCTTTTATATATATATATATATATATATATATATATTTTAATTTTCCCCCCTTATTTAAAAACCTCCTCCTATCTATTATCAATGACTTGCCAATATAGAGTAAAACCATCATAAAAGCTAATGTATATAGCACTAAAATATGAAACCATTCAATTCAATACACACATACTTGATAGTTGGTATATGTTTGTGTGCATTAGTGTAAGAAGAATGTACATCAGCGGCTGACAGCAAATTTACAGTTTCATGATACTACTGCACTCTGCAATTATTTTTTTTCTTGCCTATATTATATATTCAACCATATTTTGCCAAAGCCTCATAGGGGGATGTGCCGGAAAGTTCAAATATTATTCACGAAATCGCTAGCCAACTGCAAGAAACGAAAGAATCGTTTACGACATATTAATTCATTATATATATATATATATATATATATATATATATATATATATATAGAGATCGGAGAAGAGAACGATAGACGCGCGCATACCTCCATTGCAACAGTAATGTAAACAGGAGGCAAGTCGGTGTACAAGTTAACAGCATGCCTCACATAATCGAAATCTCCCTTACGAACTTTCACCTTCACTTCCTGGCTATATGCCATCACATACACCATATTCCACATAAGCACTGCATATATCTGCATTCATAAACGCCAATATAATAAACAAACAAACATCAATTTTCTAATCAAGATTTTTTCGATTATATTAAACATATATCAAAGCCTAATTATATTAATTACCGGATACGACCAGATATCTGTGAGGCCACCGTAAGCTGGATCGAAAAGCAAGCATGTGAGGGCCAATGGAACGTAGATAGCCATGGCTGCAAAATAGACGCATTCAAAGCGATCTACCCAATTGTTTGCTGTCCAGAAAGAGAAAAAGCCGATTCCAATAGCCAAAGTCGAAGTCACTACAAAACTTCAAGAATTATATTTACATTAGTATAATAATGTTACAAATTCAAATTTGATAAACTAAAAATACATATATGTCTATATTTTACTCTGTATTAAATTGGACGAGCCAGATGAACCAAGGAGCAAGTAAAGCCCCTCCGAAGAATGAACCCAAAATGAAGATAAAGGCCCTTGTATACTGATGCATAACAAATCAGAAAGTTAAATGTAATTTTTTTAGTGTTTTAACTATTTTTAATAAATGAAAAAAGAAAACGAAAATATGAATACCTCTTTCCATGGCTTTGTGGAAGAAAACAAAGCAATGCAGATAAAGGCTCCAAATGCTGACCAAGAGCTTCCGATGGAGGAAGATAAGTGGGACCCGATGGCCGAACTTCCCGAAGCGAAAAACAGTGTAAAGTACATCTGTATAAACAATTAGTCAATGATTAATTATAGAGAAGCAAACACTGAACACATTATATAAAAGAATCAATTCTATTATATATAGAATCGTGTCACGACGTTATTGAAACATCATACGGTGTTCAATACCAATAGCAAGAAATCCTCCTAAGAACAATACAATCAGTTACCGAATTATCTGTCGGAAATTTTCCCAATCCATCAATACAATCAGTTCTTCCGCAATTCAAAGAATATGAAAAAATCACAAAAATTCAAATGCAATCGAAACGCTCAAAATCGAAACACTCAAAATCGGAACACTCAAAACAGAAGAAAATAGAAACAATTTCAGGTTCGTACGTTCAGTACAAACTCTTTCAGTTTTCTTCTGCAACTTCAATCCATCAATTAATTCAAATAATATGAAAAAATCACAAAATTTCAGGTACACTCAAATCCAATCGAAACATTCAAAATCGCACAGAAAAACAGAAGAATTTCAAGTTCGTGTTGATCAGTATACAAACTCTTTCAGTTTTCTTCTGAAACTTCAAATCCAAATCGAACCGATTCAAAATCTACCTAAATTTTCCGTCTCATTTACAAATTACGATCAATTTCAGTTTACCCATTCCGTGAAAATAACATGCATTTACGATCAACAAAACACGTTCACATCAATTTTCCTTCAACTTTCTCATCTGGTCGTACAACAAAGAGTTCCGAAAAGTAGAAACCAAAAAAAAAAAAAAAAAACGCATCGGAAACATACCCGATTCAGGTGATGGCGGACGTACGGAGCTACATCGTCCAAGTTCAGCAGAGATTCGGCGTCCAATTGTCTGACAAAGTAATTCCTCGCTGCACCAACTGCACGTTTTCGAATTGCAGCGAAACTCATGCCGAAAAACAGTGATCGAGATTTTCAAAGTGATTTCAGAGAGTATAGTAATGGCCAGTGAGGAAGAAGATCATTTTATACACACGCGTATTTTGCCTTTGGGTATTTCGTGGTTTTTGTAGGGGTAGTTTGGGGAATGAGAAATATTCAGTTGGGCGGGGAAATGAGGTTTGTTTGACTTGTTGACTAATTAGGAGCCCCCGTGCAATTAACTAAACATAATGACGGTTAACTCAGATTCCCTCCATCTCAATATCTGTTTTGGTGTTGAACAAATTAGTTTAATTTTGTTATATTTAACAAATTGGGATGAAACCAAATAATAATAATAATAATAATAATAATAATAATAATAATAATAATAATAATAATAATAATAATAATAATAATAATAATACTGTTATTATTATTTTTATTTTATTATAATATATATTAGAAGCATTATATCAGAGGATAACAAAAGGCCAATCATCAATTTATTGATTATTTTTAATACTTTGTACTAAATCAACTAATAATATATACTTTAAGAAGATAATAATGAAGCCAATGTTTAATCATATATAGATAGTTCAAAAGGAATAATATGCTTTTATATGCTATATGTAAAATATAAAAAATGGGTATCATATTGTAGAAAATTTTCATTTATATTTAATTAAATCAAGATTCAAGATGCATCGGGCTAATTGTTAATTGTTTTAATTAATTAATTAATTAATTAATTATTATTATTATTATTATTATTATTATTATTATTATTATTATTATTATTATTATTATTATTATTATTATTATTATTATTATTATTAATTTAATTAATTTTGTGTGTGTGTGTGTGTATAGTAGCATACTCAAACATGTAAAACCATCATAAAAGCTAATGTATATATCACCAAAAGATGAAACCATTCAATTCAAGAAGAATGTACAAACTTTACAGTTTCAATTGCAATGAATAACATCTGACTATAGAAAAAATTGCCTGCCTATATATTGAACCATATTTTGCCAAAGTCTCATGTGTGAAAAGAATCACCTACTCCTACTATTTCTCACGGCTTCGATAGCCAGCTGCAAGAAACGAATCATCATTTACGACATTATCAGTACTTCATTATAGAGAGATCGATCAGAAAATAGAACAAACAATAGGCATATAAAAATATACCCGTATGACAGTAATAACAATCGGAGGTAAGTCGGTGTACACGTTAACTGCATGCCTCACATAGTCGGACTCTCCTTTACGAGCTTTCGATACCACCTCCTGGCTATACACCGCCACATAGATCACATTCCACAGAAGCCATAAAAATAGCTACATTCAAACGGCAAAAAGAAAAAAAAAAAACAAACAGCGTTAATTTCCGATCAAGATGTTTCGATTATAGATTTCTAAGCAAATTACGATGCATGATTCATAAATGGTCATTAATTAATTAATTAAATACCTCATACTTCCACAAAGCTAAGTCGCCACCCAAAACAGCTGAACCGATATGCAAGCATATGAAGGCCAGAATACAATTGTAAAGCATGGCTCTAGAATAAATGAATACGAAATGAGTCGACCACTTTGATGCTGCCCATAAACAGCAAAAGCCGATCGAAGTAGTCGAAATTGAAGCCACTACGAAACTTCAGAGGAATATTTACATTAGCATATTAATTATAACAAAATCCAAGTAAATTCATAAATCGAGATTTTTAAAATCAATTGCGTACTTTGTATCGACTTCGAGGAGCCAGGTGAGCCAAGGAGCAAGTGAAGCCCATCCAAAGAATGTACCCAAACTTAAGAGACAGGCCCTTTTGTTCTGATGCAGAACAACTCGGAAATTTAAAAATAACAATATTTTTTTTAGCAAAAATATTGAACAATACGAATATATATATATATACCTCTTTCCATGGGGGAATGAAATTAAACCAAACAATGGTGATGAAGGCTCCGAATGCTGGCAAAGAGCTTCCGATATTCAAAGATAAAGATACGTAGGATCCGATGGCTGAACTTGCCGTAGCCAAAAACAGAGTCGAGTAAAACTGTATACCCAATTAGTCGATGATTAGTTATACAAAAAATCGCAGAAGAACAACACAATCATTACCAAATTACCTGTTGTAAAATTTCCCAATCCAACAATTTCCGAGAAGCCGAAAAAAAAATTAATAATTAAAAAGAAAAGAAAGCAAATTATGGATAGAAGGCGAGTGTTCCAGTTCTTTCGAGATTCGAAGAATATGATCACAAAATCACAAAATTTCAAATGCAATCGAAACGCTAAAAAAATCGTACAGAAAAAAACAGAAGAAAAAAGAACGAATGTTCCATCAGAATCGAATCGAATCGAAACGAAATCTCACAAAGGAAAACCTACCTAAATTTTCCGTCTCATTTTGACGATCAATTTAACGGCAATTTCAGTTTATACCCATTCCGTGAAGTTACATGCATTTACATTCAAATTTCCTTCGATTTTCTTATCTCATCGTACCAAAAAAAAAGTTCTGGAAAGTAAAAAATCGGAGAAGAAGAAGAAGAATCGGAAAATACCTGATTCAGGTGACGGCGGATGTACGGAGCTACATCTTTCAAATTCTCCAGAGATTCGGCGTCCAATTGTCTGACGTAGTAATTCCTCACTGTACGAACTGCACGGGCTCTCACTGCAGCGAAACTCATGGTGAAAATAGCGATTGAAATTTTCCAAGTGATTTCAGAGAGCAGACGAAGAGCCAGTGAGGAAGAAGACTATTTATATACACGCACGCGTATTTTTACCGTATTTTGAGTGGCAGCCTTTGAGTATTTTCGGGATTTTTGTAGGGGTATTTTGGGGAATGAGATATATTCTGTTGGGCGGGAAAATGAGGTTCTTTAACCATATTTCTCTTCTCAAAAATCTTTTTTATATTATTGAATCAACAACAAACACAAATAAATAAAAGTTTGATTCCGACTCGGTAAAAACGTACTAAATTATTAATTCGATAATATAATATTTCACTAAATTAATAAAATTTTATTAATCACGACTATATTAATTTATATAGGTTTAATTGTACTTTAATTTTGTTGTATTTAACGGACTGGAATCAAATATGCAAGGGTAAAACGTGATCGAAAATCATATGCTAAGTATATTCCTAGGGAGCTTCCCTAATAGCATCTCATTAATTTTTGGGTAAATTACACTCACACGCCACACCTCTGAGGTATGCTTAAATAATTTTAAGGTCCCTGTGGTATCGATAATTACACTCACCCCCCTTGAAACGTAGTTATAAACTCTAATGGGATCATGTATTGGATACGTTATTACGATAGAGTTCTAACGGACTATTGGTTTCAGGAACTAGTGGAGACAACAAAGAGCTATTGGTTTCACCCCATAACTCCCCATAACTCTATGTTATATCTCCACCACTAGCTAAAAGTAATAGTCCATTAGAACCCTATCGAAATAATGTATCCAATGCATTATCCCGTTAGAGTTTCTAACTACGTTTCAGGGGGTGATATAATTATCGATACCATAGGAACCTTAAAATTATTTAAGCATACCTTAGGGGTGTGGGTGTAATTTACCCTTAATTTTTTTTTTAATTTCTTTCTTTGTTTTAAATATATTTATATAGAAGCTTCCGATAAAAAAAATAAATTAGAAAATAAATGAATGCGATGTTATTAGATTAACATCTGGCTACTGGTGTTTACTTAGATTTTCTTCTGTAGTTATAACATCTTGAAAATTTAGTATTTGATCCGTTCGAATTGTCTCGTAAATATATTCATACTAGATTACTATTTGAAGTATTTGTTACAGTGGTTTGAAGTAATCGTAATTGGTGTTGTAGTGCTAAGCAAGTCTAGCATCGACAAGAAAACGCATTCGAGTTAAGAGTGTGGATGAAAGCAAATGAATAGACATAAGAAACAGAAAGAAACCGAACCAACTGAAAATCGATATCATGTTAATCTCGAAAAAACCGAATTTTTTGGTTCTCATAAGGATATCCATATCAAGTTCATCAATTTTTCGAATCCTCATAGTTTGTTTACTTGATATAACAATGCATCAACTAACACTCGATGCCATGTCTTTCAACATAAAGGATTCCATTTACGAATTTATGTTTCGTGTGTTTTCAAAATTAGTTGATTTTATTTCTGCACTATTTCACGTATTTGGCTTTGTTTCAGGTTTTTGTCAGAACAAGGAACAATTTCATAAAATAGAGAGAGAGAGTTGTCAATGTTTGAGCAATTATATGCAGCGGTTGATTCAACTGAAAAGTGAAAAACGATTGCTCCTAAAGATCGCCAAGCGTTTATTACTTTTATATATAGTAAAGATTAATTGTACTATTTATGCATGTGATTTTGAATGATTTCGTTAATAATAATATGATTTATGTCAAGAGTTTTTACGTTATAGTTTTATTTTAGAAAAAAATACATTAGACAAGTTAATAACATACATTGAAAATATTTATGTTTTGAATACTAGTTTTAGGTATTTTAGAGACGTATATACCTTGAATTGATTTGAAAAAAAATGATAATCAGTTTTAACATATATAAGTAATTGTCACACACCGTACCGAATTCTGAAACTTTTGGTAAGCAGTGGCAATGATTTTCATAGTACAAAAATTTCGATAACGGTAAGTGTTTTTTGACTAAGATTGTATTCTTTTAAGTTATACATCAATAATTATTACTAATTTACTACAATCTTAATCTTAAGTAAAAACCTTGTATAGCTACAAGTCTGATTAAGGTCAATCTCAAAATGAAACCTAAATTCCATATTTGTCTCTATATATTTCTGCGCCAAAACAAAAACAAAAAAAAAATATATATATATATATATATATATATATATATATATATAT